CCCGGCCCGCGTCCGTGGACAGGGTCACGAGCGCTACTTCCTGCTGGTGGTTGACGACTACTCGCGTTACACGACAGTCTTCCCCTTGCGCAGCAAGGGTGATGTCACTGAGGTGTTGATCGACTGGATCCGCGCAGCTCGTCTCCAGCTCAGGCAGAGCTTCGGCTCGGACTTTCCTGTTCTGCGTCTGCACTCTGACAGAGGTGGAGAGTTCTCCTCTGGCCTTCTACGAGCCTACTGTCGTGCACGAGGCATCCGCCAGACCTTCACGCTTCCGGACTCTCCACAGCAAAATGGGATTGCTGAGCGCCGCATTGGCATGGTCATGGACGTCGCCCGTACGTCCATGATGCATGCGGCTGCCCCCCATTTTCTGTGGCCGTTTGCGGTTCGGTACGCGGCGCATCAGATCAACCTTCACCCCAGGGTCTCCATGCCGGAGACCTCCCCAGCCTTGCTGTGGACGGGGAAGGTTGGCGATGCGTCTGCGTTCCGTGTCTGGGGATCTCGGGCGTTTGTCCGCGACTTGTCTGCGGACAAGCTGTCCCCTCGTGCTGCTCCTTGCGTCTTCCTTGGCTTCCCCCCTGACGCGCCAGGGTGGCAGTTCTACCACCCCACCTCTCGCCGTGTTCTGTCCTCCCAGGACGTCACGTTTGACGAGTCGGTCCCCTACTACCGCCTCTTCCCCTACCGCACTCCGTCCCTCCCCCCGCCACCGCTCTTCCTTGTACCAGGTCCCCCCCCGGTAGACCCCCTCCCCCCTCAGGGTCCTGCCCCTTCAGGTGTGTCCCAGGTAGACGCAGTCGAGCCTGTCGAGGTTACTGGTGACTCTGGTGCTGCTGCGGGTGCTGAGCCTGGGGGTGCTGACTCTGGGGGTGCTGAGCGTGTGGGTGCTACGCCTGGGGGTGCTGAGCCTGAGGGTGCTACTCCTGGGGGTCCTGAGCCTGGGGGTGCTGAGCCTGGGGGTGCTACTACTGGGGGTGCTGAGCCTGGGGGTGCTGAGCCTGGGGGTGCTACGCCTGGGGGTGCTGAGCCTGGGGGTGCCACGCCTGGAGGTGCTGAGCTTGGGGGTGCGGAGCCTGAGGGAGCTGGGCCTGCTCGTGTGGCGTCTGGCGGTGCTGAGCCTGGAGGTTCTCCGGGTGCTTCGTCTCGGCGGGAGCCACTCTCTCCACAGGAGCTGCGCGAGTGGTTTGCCCGGCGCTGGAGGCGTGCTGCTGGAGCTGGAGGTTCTTCGGCTGCTGAGGGTGCTGGTGCCGCGGGTCCCGGAGGTGCTCGTCCTGGGAGTACTGGAGCTGCTGGGCCTGCGGGTACGACTGGAGCTGGAGCTGCTGAGGGTGTTGGCGCTGAGGGTATTGCTGCCAGTCCTGGAGGCGGTCCTGCTGGGGGTGCTACTGGTGCTGCTGGAGGTACTAGAGCTGGAGGTGCTGCTGGCGCTGGTGCTGCCGCTGGGGGTACTGGTGCTGTCCCTGCTGTGTCTGGAGTCGCCGCGCGGCCTCGGCCGTACTTCGTTCCGCTCCTTCAGCAGGTTCTTGGTCTCCCGCCTTCTACTGGTCCTCCTCCTCCCTTAGAGTGTCCACAGCCTGTCCCGTCCCAGTTACAGTTACAGCCGGCCTCCACACTGCCCGCTCCTTCTCCCTACACTGGTCCTACTGGAGGTCTGGCCGAGCGTCGTGAGCCTGCGTCTCGCCCTGCGTCGCCTGTCCGTCTTGCTCGCACTAGTGGCCGTGGTTCGCGTCAGCGTCCTCCTCCTGTCCCTGGCACGCACCGGATGTCTCTGCGTCCGTCCACTGCTCCTCTGCGTGCCCCTTTGCCTTCTCCTCCTGAGTCCTCTCTTCCTGCTCTTCCCGACCCGGAGTCGGACTCTCTTCGTGCTGCCAGTCCTACTGTCACGCGTCTCCTGGCTACTGTCGTCACTGACCCTTCCTTTGAGTCCACTGCTGCGTCTGCCCTAGTTGCTGAGCTCGTCGACTTTGCTGCTCGCTGTCGTCTAGACTACGCTGCTAGTCTTGTCGTTGAGTCTGAGTCTGTCTGTCCTCCGTCCGTCGGGGGTGAGTGTGCCCTTGGCACGGACGTCCTTGAGGACAGGCAGGAGGAGTTCCAGTGTTTGGCTGCTGCTTCACCTCATCTCGTGTCCATACTGCTTACCCCTGAGGGAGACCCGGATGCACTTGACATCCCGACTCCGCGCTCTTACGCGGAGGCGATAGAGGGTCCCTACTCCTCTCAGTGGCAGGCAGCTATGGACGCAGAGATGGCTTCCTGGAAGTCCACAGGCACCTACGTTGACGAGGTTCCCCCGCCTGGGGCGAACATCGTCAGTGGCATGTGGATTTTCAGGGTGAAGCGGCCGCCGGGTTCTCCGCCTGTCTTCAAGGCGCGTTACGTGGCTCGTGGCTTCAGTCAGCGGCAGGGAGTTGACTACTTTCAGACCTTCTCTCCCACCCCGAAGATGACCACTCTTCGGGTACTGCTGCACATAGCTGCTCACCGCGACTACGAGCTGCACTCTCTTGACTTCAGCACTGCTTTCTTGCAGGGCAGCCTGCACGAGGAGATCTGGCTGCGTCGCCCACCTGGCTTCACTGGGTCTTTTCCTCCTGGCACCCAGTAGAGCCTCCGGCGGCCAGTCTACGGTCTCCGCCAGGCACCGCGTGAGTGGCACGACACACTGAGGACTACACTTGCGGCTCTTGGGTTTGCTCCCTCTACTGCCGACCCGTCGCTGTTTCTGCGCACCGACACTTCTTTGCCGCCGTTCTACATCCTCGTGTACGTCGACGACTTGGTCTTCGCCACAGCTGACACTGCTGGACTCGCCCACGTGAAGTCGGAGCTGCAGAAGAGACACACGTGCACAGACCTGGGTGAACTGCGCAGCTACCTTGGCTTGCAGATCACCCGGGACAGAGCACGCCGCACCATTACCCTGACTCAGTCACACATGGTGCAGCAGGTCCTTCAGCGCTTCGGCTTCACGTACTCCTCGCCTCAGGCCACTCCTCTGCCTACTCGCCACTCGCTCTCAGCTCTGCCTTCGGATGAGTCCGTAGAGTCGAGTGGCCCGTACCCAAAGCTTGTTGGCTGCCTCATGTACCTGATGACCTGCACACGACCTGACCTTGCATACCCTCTTAGCATTCTCACACGCTATGTTGCTCCTGGGAGACATAGACCGGAGCACATGGCTGCAGCGAAGAGGGTGTTGCGCTACTTGTGCAGTACGTCGGGCATGGGGCTTGTGCTTGGAGGGCAGAGTCCAGTGGTCCTCACTGGGCACGCAGACGCTTCTTGGGCTGACGACCAGGCTACGCAGCGGTCGTCACAGGGTTACACCTTCAGCCTTGGTTCCGGCTCTGTTTCGTGGCGGGCTACCCGCTCGTCTTCTGTTCTCGGCTCCAGTTGTGAGGCTGAGATCTACGCCAGGGCCATGGCTGCACAGGAGCTTCGCTGGCTCACCTACCTGCTGACTGACCTCGGAGAGCCGCCTCGTTCTCCTCCAGTGCTGTACGTAGACAACAAGGCCATGCTGGCCTTGTGTCGAGAGCAGAGACTGGAGCACAGAACGAAGCACATTGCTCTCCGCTACTTCCTTGCTCGTGAGCTACAGCAGCGTGGTCAGCTACGGCTTGCGTACGTGGCCTCTGAGGCCAACACTGCTGATATCTTCACCAAGGCACTTGCGCCTTGTGATCATCAGCGCTTCTGTACTCAGCTGGGTCTTGTGCCTACCTTGCCTCACTTTCTCACCCCTTGACCTTGTTTGTACTGTTGCATATATATATACACCTGCTCTTGCTTGTCTAGCCTTATATACATATGTAATCCTGCATGTGAACTGGCCTTGTGGCCTTGAACTTGTGCTCGGAATGTGTGGTGACTTTGTGATCCACCCTGAGCTTGCTTTGCTTTGCTTGACTGGTCTTGTGACCCCTTGTTCTCCCCCACTTTGCCTATGGGGGTGTGTCAGATTTATATGACATAGCTACTGTAGGCTATAGTGGGGTAGCACATATGGGGTACAGTTTTCTAGGGTTTGCTTTTGTACCCAACTTTCCCTTAGTCAATTCATTCCTCATTTCTTCACAAAAGCGACCAATAAGCATCACAAATGTACAACCCCACCTAACAATTTTAACCAATGATCGAGCACTCGTGTGCCAACACACACCAGCAAAGCAACCGAATTTGCAGACACCAACGCCAACGAGGCAGAAGCGTGGCCTCGTCAGCCACGCTTCTCGCTAAATGTGGTCCATATTCGCCTGCCACCGGTACTGAGGCACGCTACTGTACAGTATCAAGATGCACGGACGCACGAATCAGAGTCACGAGCATGCTGGGTGATGCCACGTTACATCCGTCATCCTATCTTTGCTACCTAACTGACCAATCGAAGCGTTCCGGAACATGTGCTGTTACGCCGAGCTATCTCACAGGCGAAATTTTGCCTATCTCACATGGTGGTAAACAGCAGTCAGGGCGGGATGCGATGGCGACAACGAGACGACCCACGGCCTTCTGACGTGCAGATCGCCAACCCACGCGGACACGACGCCTGCTGCAGAAGGCGCCATTTTTGTTTTCGCGGTCAGGTACCCGAAATCTCAAATCGCCTACAGTTTATCCACACCCCGCGACCGACAAGGTTAAAAGGGTGTAAACGTGCATGGTCAGGCCAATTACGGACAAACTTTCTGATGGAGCTGCGCAGTACAGGGAACCCTCGGGCAGTTGAGAATACAGGGAACAGAGTATATGCACCCCAAGGTGCTTGTCAGAATGAAGGGGTCTTGCCCTCTTCCTCATTCCCACCATCGACCGAGCCAGGGTTCACCCTTCCAGCAGGGATTTTAGAGGAGGCCCTGCTGAAGCGGTTGCTGAAGCGTAAGGCAGAGAGAGGGGGTAGGAAGAAGGCGCCGCTCTCTAAGATAGCTCGACAACCCCCCGATAACCAGCCTAGCCAAGGATCGCCGCATGGCACACTACCAGTACCCGTTCAGATGACTGCGCAGGAAGCCGCAACACCTGGTACCGTAACCATTATGGGCCTTGATGGTTCCCTCGTCACGTTCCCTGCTGACTGGGAAGCTTTGCGTGGTGGCGGGATTTTCTCGCAAGCTGAAGATGGCGACGAGGACAGCGATGAAGACGGCGATGAGAATGGCGACGAGGACGACGAGGAAGAGGGGAGGAAGAAGGGGAGGAAGAAGGCGACGAGCATCGTTATCAGGCCCCCTTCGAGCCGGTTGTTGCCCCTGCTGACGCTGTTGCCTCGTTGCAAACGTGCAACCCGCTGGTGGAAACCCCATCGTGCCAACGCGTGGAGCCCGTTCTGCCCGTAATATATTGTCTCCCATTTTCAAATTCGCTGACTGTTGTTAAACAAATGGTCAGAATGTGTTTGCTGTCTAGTCTGCAGTGGGGTACGCTGTAGTGAGTACAACCCAATTAGGGTTTCCTATTTGTATCCCAACTAACGCTAGTGCAATCCCTCTTCTCTGTTTCATTCTTTTTTCCTAAATCTGACATGCTATCAGAGCAGGTCGACCCTCCCTGGTCGATCTTGTGGATGGGCCCACCTAATGCTTCCGCTGCTGCCCTGCCTATCGCGCGCCCCGGGCGCGCGACGTTTTTTGCTTGCCGCGCGTTCGGGGCGCGCGGCGTTTTTTCTTCCCGCCGTGCGCTCGGGGCGCGCGGCGGTTTTCTGCCCGACGCATCGCCCCGTGGGACCCGCGCGGTCCCCCCGCTGGACCTGCGCGACGCCGTGAGGGACCCGCGCGCTGCCCCGCTGGACCCGCGCGACGCCCTGCGGTACCCGCGCGCCGCCCCCGCTGGACCCACGCGACGCCCTGCTGGACCCGCGCGTGCTGCCCCGTGGACCCGCGCGCTGCCCCGTCGCCCAGCGCGCCGCCCCAGGGGACCCGCGCGTCCTGCCTCGTGGACCCGCGCGCGCTGCCCTGTGGACCCGCGCGCCGCCCCTTGCCCTCGCGCAGCTGCGGGGCAACTTCTTCCCCGCCCCCCTCCCCTCCTTCCCCGTCGTCTCTCTGCTGCGAGTGCAGCCGTGGGGGAGGGTATGGGGGTGGCGGGTATGGGGGTGGCGAGTGTGCGTCGTCCCTTGCTCCTCCTCCTCCTCTCTCTCCCACTGCTGCAGCAGCCGCTGAGGGGGGTGGGTGTGTGGGAGCCGAGAGAGTCGCGCTAGGGGGTGCCGTGGGAGTGAAGCTAGGGGTGCAGCAGGGGGTGTGTGAAAGGGGGGTGGGACAGTTGGGGGAGGTTGAGCGGAGGTAGCCGTCGTGTCGCCAGCAGCGCCAGTAGTCCGGAGGCTACAATCTCTGGTAGCCCAGTATGAGCCAGCTGCGCCAGTTGCCCGTGGGTCCGTTGCTCCTGCCGCTCGTCTTAGCCGCGGAGCCAGTTATTCCTGTAGTCCGGGGCCCTTGCTCCGGTAGCCACTCCGTTAGTGCGGCTCCTGTTGCCCGTGTGTCTGCGGCTTCACCCGTCGCCTCCTATCTCCTCTCCTCTCACAGTCCCGCCTCCTCCTCCTCACTTGCCCTTTGTGAATGCCTCTAGCTTTGCTTGTACGTGTGAACCTGCTCTATGACTGCTTGCTGTGCTGATTATACCCCACTTTGACTATGGGGGTGTGTCAGAATGTGTTTGCTGTCTAGTCTGCAGTGGGGTAATCTGTAGTGAGTACAACCCAATTAGGGTTTCCTATTTGTATCCCAACTGTTTCTAGTGCAATCCCTCTTCTCTGTTTCATTCTTCTTTCCTATTTCTGACACAAATTTTCCAGCGATCATGTCTCATGTTCTGCAGAACCTATGTAATCTTCAACACCTACCCCCGTTGCCATATATTATCTTTCCCCTGCAGTACCTGGTGCTCATCATGCGCAGATCAATCGCAATCTTCTCGGCGAGATGGCGGATATGCGCAACACCATGACGGTGCTGCAGGAGAACCAGTCTGCATATGAAGAGGTGGAGGCGGAAAGGAACAAGCTGCGTGAGGAGGTTGGCGTGCTGCGGGCCTAGCTTCAAGCGCTGGGGTCGGTCTCCTCAGTCGATGGAATCGTCGTCCAGGACGTGGACGACCCTAACATCGACATGAACAAGCTTCCTACGGTGGACGGGAAAATTCACATCCCCTCCAGCCTGTCTGACGACAAGGCGTTCGCGGTGAGTCTAAGTTTACACACTTTGTTTTTTTACACTATACCCATTATGCTAATGATACTGTTCTTGTTTTGAAACTACTTGTGCGCTAAAGATTCCGGCTTGTTCTTGTTCTTTCCCTCCGTTCCTTGTTCTCTTTGCAGAAAAACGCGCTCAACCTTTACATCGTGCTCATTACTTCTGGCCCGGCAGCGACGATGCAGTTCTACCCCGAGTGGACAGACATGGTGCCGGGAATGGTGCGGAAGTACGTAAGGCTGGGGGTCTGCAAGGACTTGTACTACTTTGTGGCAGGTGGGGACCAGAAAACAGAAGACGAGGCCATGGACAAGATTGCTAACAGGCGACAGACGATGAACAAGATCATCAAGCTGTACGGATGCGGCGCAGGAGGAGGAGTTGCGGCAAACAAGTGGCACTTGCTGGCGAAGGTGGGACTGCACCCGGATCAACTGAGGACTCCCCCTGTGTGGATGGCATATTACACAAACGGTAAGCCTTTGTCATTCTTTTCCGATGTCTTCGTTTCAATGCGAAATGTATTCAGTACTAATGTGTTTATGCGTTTATTATTCTAATTGTTTGTGCAGGCAAGTACGGTTCACGCTGGCATTGCTCTGCCGAAGGCAGACCATTCGCGAACCTCGCCTTTATTTTGGCGGTGACGAAGGGATTTTCCAGCAGCCAAGCCACAATTTTCCCGTTGAAGCTGCCCGCCCTTGGCTACCTATGCCATGTGGTATGTTTTAAAATGTTGCCGTTTTGGTAGCCATTGTTAACGTCCGCATCCTAACTCCCTGGGCTTGTGTTCCTGCAGGTGGAGTGGCCCATGGCTCACTGGAAGGGTCAGAACTCCCCGGCGCTTCACACTGTGGAGCTGAACAACAGGAACTGTGTGACAGCAAAGACTGCAGGCTGTGTTTCTTGGCTGAAGGAGGTTCTGGAGAGAGAGCCTGCTCGATTCAAGGCAGATGGGCAACCTGGGTTTGAAATGGGCATAGTGCTGGAAGAGGGCACAGGACAACAAATGGGAGTAAGGATTCTCATTGAGGGCTGGGAGAGCTTTTTCTTCCCAGACGGGGTAGCCCACGCTGGGGATTTTGGATTCATTTTTGACTGCCTAAGTGATGGGTAGCTAGGAAGAATGTAACTGCTTTTGATTAATTATGATATCGTCCAACTTACGCTTTATAAATAAAACGTGCAAAATATTAAGACGTTGTATCAATAATATTAAAACAAAACAGTACTGTTATTATCAAGTGTTAAATCTAATACTGTAGCCAATTAGTGCCACAAACGCGTAGTAATAATCAACTTCAATACTGTCACAAATTATATTCAAGGTTCATTTATATCGTAGTTGAATGAAATAATATCACATTGAAGTAACGGTAACCCAACTCGTTTCCCAAAAGCGAGGAGCCAACCGCATGGAGCGCGCAAACATCCCACACGCACTCCTGAAACTGCCGAACGCCACTGTCTTCCCCCCCATCCTCGCCAAATGCTGGGAGGTGGGGAAACTGCCTGGCACTCCCATCCCCGTAACCTGCCTGTGAAATAAACGCGCCAACACAACAAAACGGGCCTACTATGGCAGTTTAGGATCTAATTCGTAGCAGGAAAAAGGGTCGTAAACCGCAGTTCACACGCTGCGCGGAAACGGACAGTTTTTGACAATACAACACTCCACTTACGGGGTGCATGGAAAACAACCGATTCAACACCAAAATTTGTGCCTCAACGTCCCAATACTGCCTAAAACAAAACACACAAATTTCTGATGCAGTGCGAGGAGTCTGGCAGCTCCGACGGCTTGTCGTCAACCATTGCGACTTCTCCGGCAGTATCCGCGGTGCGAGGTAGGTCTTTAATCGACGACGACACAGAAACGGAAGTTTTTTTTTGCAGTAGGCGACCAAGTCTCGTTCATTCCGAACCATGCTTCGGATCCGCCATTTTCTCGAACGTTCGGAGTGTCTGAGCCCTCCCTCGCTTCTTTCCATCCGCCCTGAGTGCCCTGAGCCTTGGAGGTGGCCCGAAGAAGCACTTTCGTTATAGACCAGACTGCTCTGATCCCTCCATACAGCCCCTTCGCTGCTCGCTGCCCTTCCCCCTCCTTGCTTCTCGCGATGCGTTGAAGAATGCAATATCGATCACACGCGCGTGCGAGTTTTGACGCGCCGCGTCAATTCAACAATCACTACGTGCATGTGCATCCAAGCACACGCGCACACGCATAGATTGGCGGCGACGCCCCTCACTTGTAGGGCTTTAATTTCAACCTGATGCGGCAGTTGGGGTAGCCACGGGCGCGTTCAGACCGAGTTGAAGTGCGTTTGATTGAGCTCGAGTTGGGTTAGCCAAGGACGCTGAGTCTCCTCACTACAGCGACGAAGCCCCTCAATATCCCGGGTGATGTGCTGAGAAAACGCCGTTCCCGTTTTCTAAGTCTTACGAAGCGTGTGTTACTGTTTTTTTTTTTTTTTTTTTTTAAGGTTAAACGCCACGAGTACTATTCTTTGAAATTGAAGTCAGAAGAGCTCTTATGCATGTCGTTCCCGCCCCATTCGTATTTCTTATTAGTAGATGCGACGAAAGCGCCTCCTTAGTAACACTTAGTAGCGTCCCACAAACATATAAGTAACACTGTACCACCAAGTTAACCTGTTATCATAAAGTTCCTGTTACCATCAATTTACCGTGTCACCGCACTTTTACTTGTTACTGCCAAGTTACTCTGTTACTGCCAAGTTACCATGCTTGCATCTCCTCCATCGTCTCCTCTCTGCTCCGTCCTGCTGTTATTATCTGTTGACAATTGGGGCAGGCAGGGAGGTAGGGTGCAGGGAGGTAGGGTGCTGCAGGGAGATAGGGTGCAGGGAGGTAGGGTGCAGGGAGGTAGGATGCAGGGAGGTAGGGTGCAGGGAGGTAGGGTGCAGGGAGGTAGGGTGCTGCAGGGAGGTAGGGTGCAGGGAGGTAGGGTGCAGGGAGGTAGGGTGCAGGGAGGAAGGGTGCAGGGAGGTAGGGTGCAGGAAGGCTGGGTGCAAGGAGGTAGGGTGCAGGGAGGTAGGGTGCAGGGAGGTAGGGTGCAGGGAGGTAGGGTGCAGGGTGTTTGCGCCAACCCTCTCCACTGCCAGGAGTCTACTCCTTCACACCACCAGTTGTCTCATCTACTCCTCTTGCTGGATTCATCCCCCCATATGCCAGGGAGTTTGTGGCGTCGCTCCTGCCGCAGTTCCAGAGGGCAATGCGCAGCTGGCAGTGGCGACTGTCACGCTGGTGCCCCATTCACACTCCTCCTCACTGCCATATTCTCACTGTCATCTTCCCTGTGCCTGTCTGCCTGCTTGCACGTGCTGCAGGGGGTTTGTGGCATCCGTCCTGCGGCAGTTCAAGCAGGGCAATCCACAGCTGGCGGTGGAGACCGTTTTTCATTGCGCCTGCATATGCACAGCTACGCATACTCGTAACGTTTGTATGCTCTTTCACCTTGTGTGCCCTCCATGCCAGGGAGTTTTTGGCGTCGCTGCTGCCGCAGCTCAAAGAGGGCAATCTGCAGCTGGCGGTGGAAGCTGTTGTTTCACTCTGCATACATACATACACACACACAAAGGTCATCCCTTTCGTAGTAACGTTTGTGAGATGTGCTCTTTCACTCTCTTTTCCCCCCATAACAGGGAGTTTGTGGCGTCCCTCCTGCCGCAGTTCAAGGAGGGCAATCCACAGCTTGCGGTGGAGGTGGTTGTTAACCGGGGCAAGCACCCAAACCTGTACGCTCAATACGGTATGTTCATGTGTATGCATTTGCATGTTTGTGCGCGCGTGCATGTACATGTGCATGTGTCTGCATGTTTGTATTCATCTGTGCATGTGCATGCATGTGTGTGTACATGTGCATGTCCATGTGCATGTGAGTGTGCGTGCGCGCGTGCATATCTTTGACACCCCTAACCACCACCATTTCCCCCTTACTACCATGCCATGCCGCGTCATGCCATGCCATCCATTGCCATGCCATGCCATGCCGTGCAGTAAAAACGGGCGGGAGAAGGTGGTGGATGTGAAGAATCAAGAGGCATCATGCTGGAGGCACCTTCGAATAATCTCTCACACACTGAAATGTCCCGATTTCCCTCGCTCCGCCACGCCATGCTATGCCATGTAGTGAACGGAAGGGAGAGGGTGGTGGATGTGAAGAATCAAGAGGCATAGACCATTCTCATCCAGGCTTTGAGGAGTTTGAGGTGCCCCTGAATATGTTTTTTACACACTATTCCATCTCCATTTCCCCGTTCCTATGCCACGCAGTGAACGGGAGGGAGAGGGTGGTGGATGTGAAGAATGAAGAGGCAGAGACCATTCTCGTCCAGGCTTTGAGCCTTTTGAGGCGCCTCTGAAATACTGGAACTGGATTCACTCATACACCATCATTGCCCTCCTCCCACACCCTTCCGTGCCTTGCCATGCCATGCCATGCCACGCGATCCCACACAGTGAATGGGAGGGAGAGGGTGGTGGATGTGAAGAATCAAGAGGCAGAGACCATTCTCATTCAGGCTTGAAGGTTCTTCAACTAATGTTCCATCCCCATTTCCCTCCCTTCTCCTGCGCTTCTCCACGCAGTGAACGGGAGGGAGAGGGTGGTGGATGTGAAGAATCAAGAGGCGGAGACCATTCTCATCCAGGCTTTAAGGCCTCGGAACTCCACGGGGCGGAAGGTGGTCAAGCTGAAATCACGGCACGAATCGACACGGCCCAGCATTCAAGGCATGTGGACAGCAGAGCTTCAAGCCCAACTCAGATCACAAGCAGCAGCATAATGAGCTAGCTTTTCGACATTTCTCAAAGAGCATTCAAGGGGGTCTGATGGACTCCAGAGTTTCAAGCCCACCAGCTTAGATCACAAGCAGCATTTTAAGAGTCTGCACTAGGGGGTGTGCTTGCACTGGGGCATTCTTAGGAAGGTTTGTGTTGTCCAAGGGACACTGGGTAGTTGTGATTGAGTATTCGAACTGGCTGGGTTTCCAACAAGATACGTGCGTGGAAGTTTTGTCCTTGGTCCACCACAAATACGGTACACCATGCTTGTACGGTAGATGTACACTCTGATCTGAAGCCATAGTAATTTTTGTATGATGAAGAACTGAGCCTGTGCTGTGCACTTTCAGACTCCGCTCCTCCAATCCTTCCTACGGTATGTGCGAATATTGTAGAACTGCATGTTGAAGCAAGCAAGCACCTCTAGGGTGATACCTATACAGTTTAAGGCACTGCAAAGAATGTGAAGCGTGGCTTGAAGTTCAAAAACAAGCTTACAAAAGCAGGAGGCAGTTCCGGTGGACAGTCGCACCAGTGGGGAAAAGCACCATCTGCTTGAGGAGGAGCTGAAGGGAGAGGGAGCAACAGGAGGACTGGCAGTTGGTGGAGGAAAGGGAGAGGGAGGAAAGGGAGAGGGAGGAAGCATAAGAGAATCTAATTGTCAAACTTATGTGCTGCTTATTGTGTAGGCTATAGTGGGGTAGCCCATATGGGGTACAACCCAATTCGGGTTTGCTACTTGTACCCATCTTGCTGCTAGTTCATTCATTATCGCTTACTGATTCCAACATGGTATCAGAGCAAGCCCTGACCTAGGACCGTTTTTTTAGGGCCCACCGAATCGTTTCCTGCCCGTAGCGCGTTACCCTGCCCGTAGCGCCCTACCGTGTCCGTCGCGCTGCCCCACCAGTCGCGTTACCGTGCCCGCGCGCCGCCCTGCTGGCTGCCGCGCTGCCTTGCCCTGCCCTGCGCTGCGCTGCCCAGCGCGCGCTCTGCCCTGCCCTGCGTTGCGCCGCCCCGCGCACGCCCTGCCCTGCGTCGCGCTGCCCGCGCACGCCCTGCCCTGCCCCGCGTCGCGCCGCTCTGCGCACGTCCTGCCCTGCGTCGCGCTGCCCGCGCACGCCCTGCCCTGCCCCGCGTCGCGCTGCCCCGCGCACGCCCTGCCCTGCCCCCCGTCGCGCCGCCCCTGCAGTCCGCGCGCCGCCCCTGCAGCCCGCGAGTCGCCCTCTGCAGCCCGCTCGCCGACCCTGCAGCCCGCGCGCCGCCCCTGCAGCTCGCGCGTCGGCCCTGCAGCCCGCGGGCCGCCCCTGCAGCCCAGCGCGCCCCGCTGCCCAGCGCGCCAGCGCGTCCCACTGCCCAGCACGCCAGCGCGCCCCGCTGCCCAACGCGCCAGCGCGCCCCGCTGCCTAGCGCGCCAGCGCGCCCCGCTGCCCAGTGCGCCAGCGCGCCCCGCTGCCCAGCGCGCCAGCGCGCCCCACTGCCTTGTGCGCCAGCGCGCCCCGCGGCCCAGTGCGCCAGCGCGCCCCGCTACCCACCGCGCCAGCGCGCCCCGCTGCCCAGCACGCCAGCGCGCCCTGCTGCCCAGCGCCCAGCGTGCCCTGCTAAACCCTAAAAAAAAAAAAAAAAAAAAAAAAAAAAAAAAAACAAAGCCCGAGGTGCCGTCCCTGCCTGCCCGCGCGCCGCCCGCTGCAGCCCACGCGCCGCCCTGCTGCAGCGTGCCGCCCTACTCTGGCCGCGCACCGCTCTTCCCTGACCGTGCGCCGCCCCGACCTACCCTAGTGCCTGCTCGCCACCCTGCCTTCCCTCCGTGCTGCCCTACTGGTCGCGCGCCTCCTTGCTTGCCCTATGACGTCTCTTCATGGTAGCGGTGGGAGTGGTGGCGGCGGTGGTGGCAGCAGTGGGAGTGGTGGCGGCGGCCGCAGTGGCAGTCTAGGTGGAGCTGCTTGGTGGGGAGTTTCTGGCGGTGGCTAGATACAGCTCCAGCGACGTCCGCGCGAGTCCCTCACGCCCCAGCAGCTTCGTGAGTGGTACGCTAGTTGGGGTTGTGGCGGCGGCCGTAGTGGCAGTCGCCTTGGAGCTGGTCGGTCGGGAGTTTCTGGCGGTGGCCAGATGCAGCTGCAGCGGCGTCCGCACGAGACCCTTGCGCCACAGCAGCTGCGTGAGTGGTACGCTCAGAGTACAAGGTCTCGGAGTACTGCTCGCTGCCCGTACGTCATTCGCACAGGTGATCGGGCTGGTCAGACTTGCGGGACAATTGGTCACACACAGTCCCGCTGCTTCGCCGGTCTCAGCGACGCCTGGCGTACAGAGTTGGTGACGCGGCTGAGCTCTCCAGCTGGGTGGAGCTGCTTAGGCAGAGGGTGGATATCTTTGCTCTTGACTATGATGCTATCCTCACTGCCATTAATGCATTGCCTGTTAGTCCTAAGGGTGACCGTTACCTGTGTGTGCCGCCCGACCCAGGTATAGAGGCTGCTGCTCTAGGTGCTAGTGAGTCTGCTGCTCTAGGTGCTAGTGAGTCTGCTGCTCTAGGGGCTGGTGAGTCTGCTCTCTCTGGTACTGCGCACGCTGAGGCCTTGCACACCTTTACGCTTGACTCAGGTGCTTCCCGCTGTTTCTTTCGCGACAGTACCGGACTCACACCGCTCCCTGCACCTGTTGCTGTCTCTCTGGCTGACCCCTCTGGGGGCCCAGTCCTTGCACGTTCCTCCACTGTTCTCTCGTGTCCGGCGGTTCCGTCTGGCTCACTGTCAGGTCTTCACCTCCCCTCGTTCTCTACGAACTTCGTGAGCAACGCCGTCCTTCAGGATGTATGGGTTGACACCTTTACTCCAGGAGGACAGCGTGTGGTGATCTGTACGTGCTCCCGGACTGGCCGGCACCTGGCCATGTTCATCCGTGCGCCTGGCTCAAGTCTGTACACACTGACTACTATGTCTCCTCAGGTAGCTGCGTCTGCGTCTGCGTCAGATCAGCTAGCGGCCCCCTGCTCGTGTCGCGCTCTGTCGCAGCAGACCCTCCTTTGGCACCACCGTCTTGGTCACCCCTCAGTGCAGCGCCTCCGTGGCATGCACTCTCGTCTCCTTGTCTCTGGTCCTCCCAGGACTCTGCCTCCCCTCCCGCCCTCGCCTGCCCCTCCCTGCCTTCCCTGTGTCGAGGGGCGGCAGCGCGCCGCTCCTCACTCCTCCTCGTTTCCCCTAACGACTGCTCCCCTGCAGACTCTCCACATGGACGTGTGGGGCCCAGCCCGCGTCCGTGGACAGGGCTGCGAGCGCTACTTTTTGCTGGTTGTTGACGACTACACGCGTTACGCCACGGTCTTCCCCTTGCGCAGCAAGGGGGAGGTCCCTGATGTTTTGATCCCTTGGATCCGCGCTGTCCGTCTCCAGCTCCGCGAGCGGTTCGAGATGGACCTTCCCGTCCTGCGTCTGCACTCTGACAGAGGTGGTGAGTTTGCCTCCGACCTTCTGCGGGACTTTTGTCGTGGGGAGGGCATTCGCCAGACGTTCACGCTTCCGGCCTCTCCGCAGCAGAATGGGGTTGCTCAGCGCCGCATTGGCTTAGTCATGGAGGTCGCTCGCACCTCCATGATCCATGCGGCTGCCCCCCATTTTCTGTGGCCGTTTGCGGTCCGATACGCTGCGCATCAGCTCAACCTCTGGCCCCGTGTCTCCTTGCCGGAGACCTCGCCGACGCTGCGTTGGACGGGAGAGGTTGGCGATGCGTCGGTGTTCCGGGTCTGGGGATCTCGTGCCTTTGTCCGCGATACGTCCGCGGACAAGCTCTCCGCCCGCGCCATTCCCTGCGTCTTCCTTGGATTCCCCCCTGACGCTCCTGGCTGGCAGTTTTACCACCCCACCTTTCGCCACGTCCTGCCCTCTCAGGACGTCACGTTCGACGAGTCGGTTCCCTTTTACCAACTCTTCCCCTACCGCACTGACCCTCTCCCCCCCCGCCGCTCTTCCTCGCACCAGGTCCTCCTCCGGTAGACCCCCTCCCCCCTCAGGGTACTGCTCCCTCAGGTGTGTCTCAGGTAGACCCTGTCGAGCCTGTCGAGGTAGCTGTCGACTCTGGTGCTGCTAGGGGTGCTACGTCTGGGGGTGCTGAGCCTGAGCGTGTGGAGCCAGGGGGTGCTGAGCCTGAGCGTGCGGAGCCTGGGGGTGCTGAGCCTGGGGTTGCTGAGTCTGAGGGTGCGGAGCCTGGGGGTGCTGAGCCTGAGCGTGCGGAGCCTGGGGGTGCTGAGCTTGGGGGTGCTGAGCCTGAGCGTGCGGAGCCTGGGGGTGCTGAGCTTGGGGGTGCTGAGCCTGAGCGTGCTGCGCCTGGAGGTACTTTGTCTACCGGAGGTTCTCCGGGTGCCTCGTCACGGCGGGAAACTCTCTCTCCACCGCAGCTGCGCGAGTGGTTTGCTCGGCGCTGGAGGCTTCGGAGTGACGCTGCTAGAGCTAGGGGGCCTGCCATTGGAGACCCTGGAGCTGGAGGCGCTGGAGCTGGAGGTATCGGAGGTGCTGGAGCTGCTGGTCCTGGAGGTGCTGGAGGTACTGGAGGTTCTCCGGGTGCCTCGTCCCGGCGGGAGCCTCTCTCTCCACCGCAGCTGCGCGAGTGGTTTGCTCGGCGTTGGAGTCTTCAGAGTGGCGGTGCTGGAGCTGGGGGGCCTTCCGCTGGAGGCCCTGGAGCTGTAGGCCTTGGACCTGCTGGTCCTGGAGGTGCTGGAGGTACTGGAGCCGCTGGTCCCGGAGGTGCTCGTACTGGAGGTACTGGAGCTGCTAGACCTGGTGGTGCTGCAGGTGCTGGAGCTGCTGGAGCTGGAGCTGCTGGAGGCACTGGAGCTGGAGCTGCTGGAGGTGCTAGAGCCGCTGGTCCCGGAGGTGCTCGTACAGGAGGTACTGGAGCTGCTGGAGCTGGAGGTGCTGCAGGCGTTGGCGCTGGAGGTACTGGAGCTGCTGGTCCCGGAGGTGCTCGTACTGGAGGTACTGGAGCTGCTGGAGCTGGAGGTGCTGCAGGC